GATGGATGGATGGATGGATGGATGGATGGATGGATGGATGGATGGATGATGGATGGATGGATGGAGAAATGGGTGGAGTAAGTACTATGGACATTTCCTTATAAGTAAAGGATGAATAAGTTAAATAAATAAGTATTGAAAGAGAAAAACATGAGTAGTAAAATTTTTGTTAGAAGAAAAGTTATAATTTGCCTTGCCAGATGAAGACTGCTTTTTAAAATCTCTAATTATAGCTTTACATAGTAGTAAAATATAGCAAGGATACAAAATTGTAGGTACTTGATTTGCATCCAGAGAAAAGTAAAATACTGTAATAAATTTTTTTTACTTGCCTTTCTGACAATGTCAACTTCATGAGGAAGTAGAAAAATGATAAAACTTGCTATTTTAGAATTAATGTAATTTAAAAACATATAACTTGAAATTCAGTTGGACATTTCAAAAGCCTCAAAGGGAAGTGACCAATTTGGTTTCAGAGTCAATAACATGAAAGAGAATGTCCTGCATAGATCTACACTTTAAATTTTATAAAACTATATTTCTAAACTTCAGAAAACTCAGAAATAATATGGCCTGAAACTGTAATTTTTTTACAGATAGGGATACAACTAAAGAAACAAAAAAAATCAGCCTTCAGAATAATTCCAATAAAGAAGAAAAAGTAGATAGATAGATAGATAGATACACAGATACATAGATACATAGATACATAGATAGATGTTGCTGCACAGGTAACTATTAGATGAGATCTAAATTTTAAGAAGGGAATTAGGAGCAAAGACCAGAGATAAATAAAAAAAGATCATTGTAAACATCAAGACTTCCTAGAAAGACTTCTCATTCCTAGAATGAGAAGAAGTTTACAAAGCATGCAAAAGGAAAAAAAAAAGAGAGAGAGAGAGAGAGAGAGAGATTTTCAAAGCAATGTTTTATCAAACAAGGGAAGAATAGAATCACGGCCAGAGCAAATACCAGATTATATAGAAAATAAAACTAGAATTGAGCTTAATTTTATTCTCATTCACCCTAATAATCCTGATTCTTTAATTCTACCTTTTTTATCCCCCCTTAGTGTGCACCGACTTCTAACATTCTATACAGTCAAACATTCCATGTAATCTAGCATTCTATACAAGATATGAGTATGGTGTTACATATTGTCTGCCTCTCCCTTCACAACGTAACTCCATGAAGGCAGGGATCCCTGTCTCTTTTGTTCACTCAAATATCCCATATTCCTAAAACAATTCTGGCACAAAGTAGATATTTTGATACATATTGTTGAGTAAATTATTTCTATCAATAATGATATTTAAAATGAGAGGGGTGGATTAATTACACTTAAGGTATGGTTATTAAAAGCCAGGATCTATGAGAAGATAAAAAAAAGTAAATAGTTATTTAAAACAATTAAATTCTCCAGCCTCAGGATATTTACATTCTAGGGTATAAGGAAGACTTACGTGTATGAGCAAGGGATCACCTTTGAAAAGTCCTAGCAAGTAAGACAGCAAGCATGCAAATGTAATTTTGAAGGAGACAATGAAATACTGTGTAATTACAATAAATCACCAATAAAATTCTACACCTGATTATAACATAAAGGATATGTGACTGCTTAAAAGTATGTTAGTCACAAGGTGTTTCCATTTTTGCCAGAATTTTTGTATCCTAAAATGTCGCTGCAGCCATAAAAAAGAATGAGTTCATGTTCTTTGCAGAGACATGGATGAAGCTGGAAGCCATTATTCTCAGCAGACTAACACAGGAACAGAAAACCAAACACTGCAAGTTCTCACTCATAAGTGGAAGGTGAATAATGAGAACACATGGACACAGGGAGGGGAATATCACACACCAGGGTCTGTCTGGGGGTAGGGGCAAGACGAGAAAGGGGAGAGAAAGCATTAGGACAAATACCTAATGTATGCAGGGCTTAAAACCTAGGATTGATAGGTGCAGCAAACCACCATGGCACATGTATACCCATGTAACAAACCTGCACGTTCTGCACATGCATTCTAGAACTTAAATTTAAAAATAAATAAATAAATAAATAAAAATAAAAACCTTGCTCATAACCCCTCAGCCAGAAAATCACATATCTAAGTTCTGCAACTCCAAGTTTGTCTATCCAGCAAATATTGACCTTTATAAGAGATTTTGAGGCATACAGGGAATGTAGTTATACAATCATTATATTGAATAAAAGAGAAGAACTGCTGTCTAAAAAAAATTTCTTATAAGTACTTTTTTAAAATGTTTAGTTTTGACAAATAAAAATTATATATATTCAAATTGTACAACATGATGATTTTATATACAAATATATTGTGTAATGGCATCAAAATTGAGTTAATTGGCACATCCACCACCACCCATGCTATACTTGAGACCCCAGAACCTGTTCCTCTTATAACCTAAGTTTGTGCCCTTTGACCAACATCTCCCCATTTTTCCCACCCCTTGACCCCTAGTAGTCACCCTCCTACTCTATCTTCATAAGTTCAACTTTTTTAGATTCCACATCAAAGTATATCATATAGTATTTTGTCCTTTTGTGTCTGGTTTATTTCACTTAAATCCTCCAGGTTCATCCATATTGTCACAAATGGCAATGTTTTCTTCTTTTATGGTGAAAATAAAAGTATTTTACTATATATATATCACATTTATTTATCCATTTATCTGTCAATGAACACTTTGGTTGTTCCCATATCTTGGCTATACTACAAAGCTATAGTAATCAAAATAGTACTGGCATAAAAACAGACACATAGACCAACAGAAAGGCTAAAAATAAACTCACACATATATGGTCAACTAATCTTTAACAAAGGCATCAAAAGTACACAATGGAGAAAGAAAAACTCTTTAATAAATGGTGCTAGCAAAATTGGATATCCACATCCTGAAGAATATCACACTATTTACAAAAATTAACCCTAAATAAATTAAAGACAAACACAAGATACGAAACTGTATAACTTCTAGAAGACAATATAAAAGGCACCTTGACACTGGTCTTGGCAATGACTTTTTGGACATGACACCAAAAGCACAGGCAACAAAAGCAAAAATAAACAAGTGGGACCACATGAAAGTAAAGGCTACTGCACAGCCAAGAAAATAATTTTAAAAATGAAAAGGCAACCCATGAAATGGGAGAAAATGTTTGTAAATCACATATGTGATAAGGGGTTAACATCCTAAATGTAGTTCACACAACTCAATAGCAAAAAATAAAAATGGGCAAAGAACCTCCATAGATTTTTCCAAAGAAGACGTATTAATGGCCAACAGGTACATATGAAAAGGTGCTCATTCCACTAATCATGAGAGAAATGTATATCAAAACCACAGTGAAATATCACCTGTACTTAGGATGGTTATTGTCAAAAAGACAAGAGATTTTAAAATGTTAGCAAATGTGTAGAGAAAAAGAAACCCTTGAATGTTGCTAGTGGGAATGCTAATTGATACAGCCATTATGGAAAACAGTATGAAGGCTCCTCAAAAAAAAATTAAAATAGAGCTACCATACAATCCAGCAATCCCTCTACTGGGTACATATCCAAAGAAAATAAAATCAGTAACTTGAAGAGATATCTGAACCCTCATGCTCATTGCAGTATTAGTCACAGTAGCCAAGATATAAAAACAACTTAAATTGTCCATTAGTGAATGGATGAACTTCCAGAATCTCTTAAATGGCTGTCAAGGAGTTTATGCAGACATGATGTCGAGTCACCACATGTAGTCATCAGAGGAATCGGAAGAATCAGAGGAATGTAGTCATCAGAGGAATCAGACAGAAATATGTGCCTGTCAAAGAGACGATAGTGTAGACATAATGTATTCTCATATATGATTGCCAAGCAATGACATGGTCATAATTCAGCATGACACATATCACAGGGGGTGACACAGATATAATGTAGTGTCATATGTGGTCAACACAGATGTAGACATACAGTAATGTCATGCATGTCCATGAGGGAGATGACACAGACATAGCTTAGTGTCACATGTGGTCAGAGAGATGACATAAATGTACTGTAGGGTCAAATGTGGTTATCAAGGAGATAATGCAGATATAGTGTAGTGTCATACATTGTTGACAAGGAGATTATACAGACATAGGTCAGAATTACGGAGCTGACACATACACAGTATAGCATCATACATGATCATCAATAAGATGATCCGGATGTATAGTAGTACCTACACAGGAGTCTGAATGTTAATGCAGACATGCTGTACATCACATGAGGATTTAAAGGAGATAATGCAGACATAGTATAGCCTGAGGTGTGATCATTGTCAAGTTCAGGTAGATGAAAAAGACATAGTGT